TTTACGGTTTAGGGTTTGGGGTTAATGGTGAAGAGTTTAGGATTTAGGGAGCAGTATGGATGGGGAGTTGTGCTTTGCGGGCACAATTATAAATTTCCGTGTTTGTTGGCAAGAGGCTCGCGTAGGGCGGGCGGAGTGGGTGCAGCTGAGCTATCAACTATACATTTTTGACCGCGGTTTGTCATTGTCTGTCGTGGTTTCACAACAAGTAAATCTTAAACCCTAAGCCTAAACCCTAAACTCGAAACCCTAAAAGTGGCGGGCCTTAAGCGGTGTCTTGCAACGGCCGGCAGGCCCCCAAGGTCCTTACATGAAGGATCCTAATTTTCAACCCCGAACCCTGAACACCCTAAACCCTATACCCTCAAACCCTGAACCCTAAATCCTAAACCCTAAGTCTCGAAATCCAAACCCCAAATTCCCCAATCCTAAACCCTAAATCCTTCAAATCCTATACCCCCTAAGCCCTGAACCCTAAGCCCCTGAATCCCGAACCGTAGGATCCCTTCCTTGTCAGAGGACTCCCATGGCCTTCATTGAGCTACTGTCAGTATGAGGATTCCTTAAAGAGGGATCTTATAGGGGGTTAGATACTGTAGGTTTTAGGGCGTAGGGATTAGGCGGGTTTAGGGTTTTGGGGCCAGGGAGAATAGAGAAGCAAATGGACAAGACGATGGAAAATGAAGCGGAAAGTGGGGTTACATAGGGTTTTCTAGACATATGGGGAACCCTAAACCCTACGGGCCCTTTTACGGGAGGGACCCCTGGGGAATGCACTTCCTTGAAAGGAGATTCCAAACAAAAAGGGAACCTAGCTCATAGCCATTTTGGGGACAGGTATTTCGTATAGGAGACTTATACAAGGGTGATTAAGGGGGATTCTAGGTGTTTAGAATAGAGCTCAAATCTTCTTCCAAAAAAGCCCCCGGAACCCTAAACCTTAAACCCTAAACCCAAAAACCCTAAACGCTACACCCCAAACCCCAAGCTCTAAGACCCTAAACCCTAAACCTTAAACCTTGAACCCTAAACCTTGAACCCTAAACCCCACACCCCAAACTCAAGGTTACACCGGAGCCCACAAAAAGCGCGTGCTGCAGACTGAACCTTGGTTGCTGTTCAGTAAAAGTTTTACATGAGTAGTATTTAATTCGGGGATATTATGGTGCCCTAACTCAGGCACCGTTATTTGGAAGTTCAGGAATCGTCCCATCGCCATGTTACAAGAGGCATGGCCTGAAAATTCTGATTTTGACTCCTTCAATTTCGACAAGGACGATGAAATTCACTGGTGCCCCCGTATGCCTCCGGCCAGGCCGTTTCCTGAGGGATTGTCCGCCGCCTTTTCCTGGGATCTAAGAGAAACCTGCGTGCAGTTTCTTGAACTGCAAACTCAAATCGCCATACGCAAAAACATGCAATACAAGCACCATCTGTTAGACGTTCCCCAATTTGTCGCTCTCTCTCCTGAACCTGTTGACGCCTTCTCAAGCGTTGACTCCCTTAGTCCCCTTTGGGTTGGCAGATGTAGACGAAAAACCAAACATTTCCGATGGGAAACATCCGCCTTGAAGGTCACCAATAGCTTGGCTGTGAGGTCAGTCACTGCCAAGCCTATTGCCTTCTGGACTCGTCTTAGTGCGATTGACATCAAAGCACGTGTCTCGCCTTCTAAGTCCGCCAAACGGCAGTTTGTGTGCCAGCACAAATTCTTCTTGTCCATTCAGCGTGCTATTGGACAGCACCTGGAAGCCTCCGACTCCGGCAACCTTCCTCATCTGCCCGAGGTCTGCTGGTCGGAGGATATCCCCGTGTGCTCCTTCTGTGCCACGTTGCTTAACTTCGTCCAAGTTCCTGATAAAGCTCATCGCTCTTGCCTGATGGCACAGCTCCTTCCCAAACCCGTGCTACTTGAAAAACTCACCTCTTGTCAAAAGGTCCTGACAGACCTTTCTTCTATTATCGCTCGCCTGTACTTATTCTAAATTATTCAGTATTGGAGGAGCCAGAGTGCTCAGCGCGTGAATTTCATGACTGACTGACGTCCGTGAATAATATTATGGTACCCAATATAGAGTCAGATTCTATCCTCCTTTTGGGGTATAGTATTTTATGTAGGGAGTATAATCTTACTAGGTTCACCCACCAAAAAAACGCTACTCACATGAGCTATAGTCTAAACAAGGGATTAGGGTTAAGGGTTTGGGGTTTAGGGTTCAGGAGCTCAGGGTTTAGGGTTGACGGATTAGGGAATTTACGTTAAGTTGCCATAACAAGTAGGAAGCCCTACTTTTCATTATCTTGAATACCTTAGTGTCCCAGACTCCTAGACCGGACCTGCCACAGAACCCCAGGTTCCATTCGATTGTTCACTTTCCCGCATTTCTACATCTGATTTTCCATCATTCTTAACATTGAAGCTCCTAAGCCCTAGGCTCTAGACCCTGGCTCGCAAACCCTGCTCTTAATTTAGGTTCCTTATCTGCAACCAAGGAATTGCCTGCCAACTGGCTTCATGGGCACTGGCACGGGAAGGCGGCTGACGATCGTAAACCGCAGGGCTTCTGCTTGCAGGGCTGGGCTTTAGGGCTAAAACCCCCCAAGCACCCTGCCCAGGGGTTTAGAGGGTTTCTCAAACCATTGTTGTAACATCCTACCGTTCTCAGCCCTAAGCTTTCAACGCCCCTTGCCAATCAACCACATCGGTACATCGCTTTCCTTGCTCTCCTCGAAGGCCGGTGTTTGCCACTACGGTGTGTCTGGGTCGTGTGTGGAAGCATTTTCTCAAAGGCTTTCTCAACATTTTGGGGTATTCCCCCCCTAAACCCTACATTCAACGAACCTAGAACCCTAAAGAGGAAAGTTTTGGAAGAGTGGATCAGGATTGTAGTGCTTTTGGGTCTATATCCGGGTCCCTTGGTTATGGAAACCAATATTTCGGAATTTTCTACATGTTGTTAGAATGATTTCTAAGAAGTAATGAATGTCGCCTTCCGCGGAGCTTTAATGGGGGAAATGCCAACATGATTCTACAGTAGCCCTGCTGAAACGCCGAATGAATTCCAGTGCTTCCCAAGCTCTTTACCATGACCATAACCCCCAACCCTAAAACCTAAACCGCAAACAAGCACGCCAGGCCTCTTGACCCACACCCTACACCCCCAAACTTTGCCTTCAACAGCAGACCCCAAAGCCTTAGACGGTACCTTCAGCATCCAATCCCCGTCCCCTAATGATTTTAACCCCCCCAACCCCATTCCCCTGATGAAAGGGGGCGGGGCTGATAATGATCGGGGGGGTGGATTAGGAGTGGAACACGCCGCATGATGGATCCTCCACCACGGATTGGGTGGTTCTCTGTGGCAGCAATGGACACAAGGCAGGGGTGGTTTCATGAGCGAGAGAGAGCAGCTACTGCAGCAGCTACTGTTGGCCTATGCTAAGACTGGGTTGCTGCTAAGGAACTTAAATTAAGTTACTATATTGGGAATATATAGTAAATGATAGGGTTTCCCCAATATAGTAACTTAATTTAACAGCAACCCAGAAGAGTGTGAGTACAAGTACATAGGGGACGGAGGGAGAGCGGGACAGAGAGGGGGAGACAGAGAGAGCAAGAGAGAGAGAGAGGGA